CACAACATGGCCAATATACGAGGCTGAGTTAGCTGTCCGATGCTAGCATGATTATTTCAAGGAATTCATATTCAAAGAACACAAAATGAGGATTGAAATGAATGAGAGGTGGGGGGAGGGGAAGTTAAAATTCGCATCGGCATCAAAGAACATTATACTAAACTCAGATTTACTAACAGTAAAAGAGAATAAAAAAATAATTAAATAAATAAATAAAATGAACAGGAAGAGAAGAGAGTGAAAATTGAACGATTACGTGAGGAAACAACTAATTTCACCATTCCTATTCATCATTGCCAACATTTGTTTCGAAATATGAACGTGCAGTTCACGGGAAATCGACCCCCAGATTAACATCAGAATTTGTGTTAACACGATGCATATAATTACTACCTTACCATATTATTGCTTTTTCTTTGACCTGATACCTTTGGGCAAGAATTCTTTGTACTGATGCTTTTGAGCAAGGATCATTTATACTGGTGCTTTTGGGCAAGGATTCTTTGTACATCTGCCTTTAGGCAAGGATTCTTTGTACTGGTGACTTTGGGCAGGGATTCTTTGTACAGATGACTTTGTACAAGGATTCCTTGTACATGTGACTTTGGGCAAGGATTCTTTGTACTAATGCTGCTGGACAAGGATTCTTTGGACTGATGCTTCTGGACAAGGATTCTTTGTACTGACGCCTTTTACAAGGATTATATGTACTTGTGCTTTTGGGCAAGGATTCTTTATACTGATGCTTTTGGTCAAGGATTCTTTATACTTGTCCCTTTGGGCAAGGATTCTTTGTTCTGATGCCTTTGTACAAGGATTCTTTGTACTGATGCCTTTGGGCAAGGATTCTTTGTATTGATGCCTTTGTAAAATGATTCTTTGTGCATTTGGGAAAGGATTCATTGTACTGATGTCTTTGTACACCTGCCGCTGAAATGGATGTTTGTACTAGTGCTTGTGAACAAGGATTCTTTGTGCTGATGCTTTGAGCAAGGATTCTTTGTACTGATGCCTTTGGGGAAGGATTCTTTGTACTGATGCTTTTGAACACGAATTCTTTCTTCTTGTGTCATTGGGCAAGGATAATTAGTACTCCGGCCGTTGACATCGATGTTTGTATTGATACTAATGAATAAGGATTTTTGTACTGGGGCAAGGATTATTTGTAATAATGCTTTGAGCAAGCATTCTTTGTACTGATGCCTTTGGGGTAGGAATCTTTGTAATCTTGCCGTTGGGCAACGTTTCTTTGTACTTGTGCCTTTGGGCAAGGATTCTTTGTACTGATGCCTTTACTACGAGGATATTTGTACTTGTGCCTTTGGGCAAGGTTTCATTTTACTGGTGACTTTGGGCAAGGATTCTTTGTACTTATGCCTTTGAGCAAGGATTTTTGTACTCATGCTTTATGCAAGCGTTATTTGTACTGGTGACTTTAAACAAGTATTCTTTGTACTTGAGCCTTTGGGCCAGGATTCATTGTACTGATGCTTTCGGACAAGGATTCTTTGTACTTGTGTCATTGGGCAAGGATGTTTTACTCCTGCTGCTGAGGTGGATGTTAGTATTGATGTTTTGGACAAGGATTCTTTGTACTGGTGACTTTGTGCAAACGTTTTTGTACTGGTGACTTTAAACAAGGATTCTTTGTACTTGTGAAAGGATTCATTGTGCTGATGTCTTTGTACAACGATTGTTTGTACCGGTGCCTTTGAGCAAGGATTCTTTTTACTTGTGCCTTTGAGCAGGGATTCTTTGTACTTCTGCCTTTTTCAAGGATTGTTTGTACTGATGCTTTTGAACAAGGATTCTTTGTACTTTGGTCATTGGGTAAGGATTCTTTGTACTCCTGCCGTTGACATGGATGTTTGTACTGATGCTTTTGGACAAGGATTATTTGTACTGATGCCTTTGGGCAGGGATTCATTTTACTAATCCTTTTGGGCAAGAATTCTTTGTACTGATGCTTTTGGGCTGGGATCTGTTGTACTGATGCTTTTGAGCAAGGATTCTTTGTACTGGTGCCTTTGGGCTAGGATTCTTTGCACTGATGCCTTTCTACGAGGATTCCTTGTACTTGTGTCTCTGTGAAAGCATTCTTTGTACTGATGCTTTTGGGCAAGGATCCTTTGTACTGGTGCTTTTGGGTAAGTATTCTTTATACTCATGCCTTTGTACAAGGATTCTTTGTACTTATGCCTTTGGGCAAGGATTCTTTGTACTGATGCTTCTAGGCAAGAATACTTTATACTTGTACCTTTGGGTAAGGATTCTTTGTATTGATGACTTTGTGCAAGTATTCTTTGTACTGATGCTTTTGGGCATGGAATCTTTTTTTTTTTAGTCTTTTGGGAAAATTTCCCTTGTACTTATACTTTTGGGCAGCGATTCTTTTTACTGGTGCCTTTGGGTAAGGATTCCTTGTACTTGTGCCTTTGGGCAAGCATTCTTCTACTGATGTTTTGGACACGGACTCTTTGCGCTGGTGCCGTTGGGCAATGATTCTTTGTAATGATGCTTTTCAACAAGGATTATTTGGCATTTGGGCAAGAATTCTTTGCACCGATGCCTTTCTACGAGGATTTTTTGTACACGTGCCCTTGGCAAAGTTTTTTGTACTGATGTTCTTGGGCTGGGATCTTTTGTACTGATCCTTTTGGATAATGGGTTCTTTATCCTGGTGCCTTTGGGCAAGGATTCTCTGTATTGGTGCTTTTGGGCAAGGATTCTTTGTACTGATGACTTTGTAGAAGGATTCTTTGTACATGTGCCTTTGTGCAAGTATTGTTTGTACTGATGCTTTTGGGCAAGGAATCTTTGTACTTGTGCCTCTGGGTAAGGATTCTTTGTACTGATGCTTTTGGGCAAGGATTTTTATTTCTGAGTCTTTTGGGAAATGATCACTTGTACTCATACTTTTGGGCAGCGATTCTTTGTACTGGTGCCTTTGGGTAAAGATTATTTGTACCTGTGCCTTTGGGCAAGGATTCTCTGTTCTGATGCTTTTGGGCAAGAATTCTTTCTAATGATGCTTTTGTGCAAAGATTCTTTGGACTGATGCCTTCGTAGAAGCGTTCTCTGTACTGGTGTCTTTGGGCAAGATTTCTTTGTACTGATGCCTTTGTACAAGGGTTCTCTGCACTGCTGCCTTTGTAGAAGGATTCTTTGTACTGCTGCCTTTGGTCTAGAATTCTTTGTACTGCTGCCTTTGGGCAGGGATTCTTTGTACTGATGCCTTTGGGCAGGGATTCTTTGTACTCATGTCTTTGTACAAGTGTTCTTTGTGTTTGTGCCTTTGGGCAAGAATTCTTTGTACTGATGCATTCCTACGAGGATATTTTTTTACTTTGCCTTTAAGCTAGAATTCTTTGTGTTGATGCTTTTGGGCCAGGATTCTTTGTAATGATGCTTTTGGGCAAAGATTCTTTGTACTGATGCCTTCGTACATGGGTTTTCTGTACTGATGTCTTTGGGCCAGGTTTCTTTGTACTGGTGCTTCTGGGCAATAATTCTTTATACTTGTGCCTTTGGGCAAGGATTCTTTTTATTGATGCCTTTGGGCAAGGATTCTTTATACTAATGTTTTTGGGCAGGGAATTTTTTTTAATCTTTTCGGAAAAGAATCCCTTGTCCATATCCTTTTGGGCATCCTTTGGGTAAGGATTCTTTGTACTTGTGCCTTTGTGCAAGTATTGTTTGTACTGATGCTTTTGAGCAAGGAATCTTTGTACTTGTGCCTTTGGGTAAGGATTCTTTGTACTGATGCTTCTGGGCAAGAATTCTTTATACTTGTGCATGTTGTCAAGGATTCTTTGTATTTATACCTTTGGGCAAGGATTCTTTGTACTGATGCTTTGGGGCAAGGACTTTTTTTCTGAGTCTTTTGGGAAATGATCCCTTGTACTCATACTTTTGGGCAGTGATTCTTTTTACTTTTGTTTTTGTTTTTTTCTTGTATTTGTGCCTCTGGGCAAGGATTCTTTGTACTGATGCTTTTGGAGAAGGATTCTTTGTACTGGTGCCTTTGGATAAGGATTCTTTGTACTGATGCTCTTGGACAAGGATTCTTTGCACTTGTGCCGTTGGGCAATGATTCTTTGCAATGATGCTTTTGGGCTAAGATTCTTCGTACTGATGCCTTTGTACAAGGGTTCTTTGTACTGGTGCCTTTGGGCCAGGTTTCTTTGTACTGATGCATTTGGAGAAGTATTCTTTGTACTGGTGCATTTGGGTAAGGATTCTTTGTACTGACGCTTTTGGACAAGGATTCTTTGTACTGACGCTTTTGGACAAGGATTCTTTGTACTTATGCTTTTGGACAATTTTTCTTTGTACTGGTGCCTTTGGGCAAAGACTGATTTCCTTTCACCTAAGCCACACCATTCCTGCTTATATGTAGAATGATAGTAGGACGAACTGCCCGTTTTAGCCTTGCTAGGGCATCCAGACTAGGAGAAAGCAAACTTTAGAGAATGCAATTGTAACCCAGTCCATTATTTTTCCCAATATTGGTCATGGTGATTCATATTTTTTTTTTAAATACGTTAAAAGCAAATGAACTTGTGGAAATCTATGATCGTTTCTCACCTTCTTGGCCTTGATGTAGAATTAACTAATGTCCTGTTTGAAAGGGTCGTTCTTTCTCTTGCATAGAGAATAATGGTTTTCCAAAGAGCAAAAATGAAGATGACTGGTCTATTTTTTGGCACCTAGTCCCATGTGCGTCTGTGATTCTCATTAAATTTCACTTTGTGCCATATTCCTTTTGGATGGACTTTCGGATATATTGCATTGCCTACGTCAGGACATTGTTTTATTAAGAACTGCCTTAGCGTAATTATGAGAGATTCGTTTACCCAAAGTTTTTTCTCAAATTCCCGTCAGGTTCGTTATATTCATTTACGCACAAATACACCTGGAAAAATTCTAAATTCACCTCTTACCCCCCAGCTATGGGTTAATTAGTAAAACTTATATCACAACCATTATTATCTGAGTCACGGCTATATCACATCGAAACCCGTTTCCCGTACGACTACCGAAGTTAAGCCACGTTGAACCTGGTTAGTACTTAGATGGGTAACCTCTTGGAATTACCACTTGTCGTAAGCTTGGACGTGCAAGTGATGCAATGGATAATAGCTCGGAATTGTTAATTGGAGAGCCGTGTTCCAATTTCAGTTGTGTTCATTATATTCACTTAAGCGTAAATACCATTGAGAAAGGTCTGAATCCATATCTCCCTCCAAGCTATAAGTTAATTAGTAAGTCTTGTATCGCGAAATCACTTGTATCTAAAAAAAATATACAATCTAAACATGGCTGGCTTTAAATAACCAGCAAAGTAGTTGATAAGCCGTAGAAAACTAATCAATCGATCAAAAATGAAGATATTCTTATCTAAAAAAAAAATTCTTAAATGTAAAAGTGTTCTGTCTTTAAACGAACTGCAATGGGTTGATAAGCCGTAAAAAACAAATCAATCAATCAAAAAATCAAATACTTATTCATTCACTTCTCTTTCCGTCATCGATATTAGTAGATATATGGCGATAGAGGATAATACAGGGAGAAATAGATTCATGCCTGCCCTAATGCATATACAAAGAACTTCCAGCAGTAATTTGAACTACCCTTGCCGATTTCGTGGTAATAAGGCATACACAATGCCCCTCCCTCCAATAACAATTAATCTTAGAGGGCAAATAAAAGCGTCGGGGGGGGGGCTTTTTTTTTATTTGTTTTTTCTTTTTGGAGATAATTTTCTACCACTTTCAAGTTTATGCTCGTTTCATTTATTAACCTTTTTATGTCCATTGTTCCACTTGTGGAACATATGTTAAGACATTTTTTTTAATACAAGATCAGAGTCAATCTTTTTCAAATGTTAACTTCTGTCAGATAGAAAATCATTTCTTTATTATTCTTATCCAATTATAATTGTGATTATTCCGCCCTTTGTTATTTTGCACAATCACTTATCGCACCGGCCGGAAGTTACTGCCGGCTACTCAAACGTCCGAAAGCGTCACCGCGGAAAACAGTACGAACACCATTAATTTCCGGTGACTCAGCGTTTTTCAGAGAACGATACACAAAAAGCAAAACAAATGAAACATAAACAGACACAAGTCCTCCTAATGACCAGAAACTACTTTATATACACATGGTGTCCAAATGAAACCCATGTGTACAGTCAAAATGCGGAAGGTAATTTTTAGCCATCAACCAAACGACATTGCCAACCGGCAACGATGCTAACTGCAGCCGATATAAACACTGCCGAGTTCTTCCACCAAATAACTCGGCCAACTCGGCTGACTTGGCCCCAGGGTAGAGAGTCGTGCTCCCCATCTCACCTTCACCTGGCCTACCCTCAGCAGCAAAGGTTCAAGCCAACCTCAGCAGCAACTGGCCGAACCAACTTCAGCAGCAGCAGGCCAAGCCAACCTCAGCAGCAGCCGAACATTATATGCGAAAGTTCTTTTTAGGACTACCTGGCCACGTTATATACGACAGTCATTTTAAGGACTACTTAGGCCACATGATATGCGATAGTCCTTTCCAGGACTACCTGGCCACGTTATATGCGACAGTCCTTTTAAGGACTACCCTGGCCACATGACATGCAATGGTCCTTTTAGGGATTACCTGGCTACGCTATATGCGATAGCCCTTTTAAGGATTACTTAGCCACATTATATGCGATAGTCCTTTTTAAGGACTAACTAACCGTCTTACATGCGATAGTCCTTTTAAGGACTACCAAGCTGCGTTCTTACACGACTGTCATTCTAAGGACGAACAGGCTACCCCAGCACTGTCTACGCCGATCCTCTCTCTTCAAAACGCCGACGCGCTTCTTTACAAAGGCCGAACATCCGGGGATCGACTGGACCTCGAATACCGCTGTTCCATCTGCCTGCCTCCGAGCTGCCGCCTTGAATCCAAAAACGATCTTTCGACTGGGACTCTCTGACTTCACGATCGAACTACACCAAACAATTCCTGTACGTATATTTGTCCAGATCGAAAAATAAATCCGGCGTTTGTTATTCTAAATCTCTGCCTTTGTTCCTCATTGTCTTAGCTGTTCACACCTTTCTCCGTAAAGCTTGCGGGCGGAGGCGGGGCGACATCCTTACGGGCCCCGCAACACACTACCTTATAAATATTGGACTATTCCATTTTGATCGCAAGAAAAGAGGGGAAAGACATACACTACTTGGTTTCAGTGAGAAAAGGAAGTAATGTAAGAAAGAAAGAAATGTTTAACGTCTGTTTCAGTGAAATGGAAAATTTGTCAATTTCAAATCTTTTCATTTGTACCCACTTCTTTAAATAACGAATACCATTCATATTTATGATTGTTATTACAATATTTTGTTAAAGTTGTTAAGCTCAAATATTTAACGATGCCATAGGGGAATTCCTACGGATATTTTATTGTCGTAGAAATCGACATGAACTTAATAATTAACTTAAGAATTAACATTCATCAGAATATTAAAATAGGAAAATTGTGAAACTTTCTCGGGTTAAAACTAGTAATTATTATTATTATTATTATTATTATTATTATTATTGATATTTACTTTTTTAACAAGACAAAACATGCAAACATGTTAACACTTACATTTAATTCAGATCAGAAGCCATGCCTCGCTTCTGAGTTTAACTGATTGGAAGCATTGTTGTTGTTGTGGTTATTATTATTGTTATTATTATTGTTATTATTATTATTATTATTGCTGTTAGGACCATCAATAATAATAATAGTGATTTCAGTAATCTTAATACTAGTGACGGTAATAATTTCATAATTATGACAATTATCTTAATTTTATTCCGTAATTTACGTCATTTTTGTAGGTCTTTACCAAACCTAAACAGACTGAAATATTGACATGAAGGAGTTTTCTCATGATGTGTGCGGTTTCTAAGAGGTTGAATTTCTCCGGGATTTACATAATCATTTCGCGTATCAACACTACAATGATAATTAGTTTGTTCAAGGTTCTCATATTCGCTTGGATCTCAATCCGGATATTTCATTGCTTGATTATATTATGTCTGTTTATTTCATTATTCTTTTTGAAAGAATTGTCTCGACAACATCAATGAAAAGGCTTGTCTACCTCCTTGCTGAATATCTCGAAAGTTTGGTCGTTTTGCTGTAATAGCACTTGTCGGAGTTATCTCCCCCTTCAGTCCGTTAACCCTTTCACCAAGGGTCTCTCTTCCCTGGCTATAAATAGCCGCTCACTCTTCGCCTCTATCTCTTTTTCCTTCAGGATTTCAGCTATCAACCTCGAAATGTAGGCGCTAACAAGGGATAGCGTGGAAACACGCTAAGCACAATATTCACACACGCACGCACATACAGAATATTCACACACGCACGCACATACACAATATTCACACACGCACGCACATACACAATATTCACACACACTTCGTCCTTTGCACTATATATTATGTATTTGTTGTGTTTATAAAAAATATTTATTGTTGAACAAATTCACATTTTCTTCTACTTGATTATTTCTCTTGTTGTTGTCTTTGTTACATTTGATATTGTAAAAATTGTAGAGGGTCGGTTTTTATTTCTATTTATAACCAATACAAATTGGCTGACCCACTATACACTATTGATGTTGACAGCTACATCCCACATGATGATTAGAGTAGAATATGTGCCATATTTTCAGACCCATGTCCAAGTATTTCAAAGCTTAATTTTCTTTGCTGATGTTGGGGAGGGTTTTAGCTGAAGGCAATTGAAACCGATGGCTGATCATCATCGTAATGATGATGTTAACATTAAAACTACTGCTGGAGCTAATACGTCATCATCTATTATTTTTATTATCAGTGTTGTCATTAGAGATTAAGTGATAGCAAGTCACTTTAAAATATGTATTTACATTTCCTTACCCGATGTCACAGGATTATCACTGAAGATTAAGTGACAACATCACTTTAAATTTCCAGCACCTTCCTCGGTATCATTTATTATCTATCATCTTTCAGGCATTTTCATGTCTATATCTCATGTATCGGTGTTATCATTAGAGATTAAATGATAGCAAGTCACTTTAAATTTCCAGCACCTTCTTTAGTATCATCGTAAATACCAACAAAACTGATAGATCGTTGTAATTTTTCTAATACTAATTCTAATCCTGATCATGATGTATTAAGCAGAATTAATCCAAGAACGCCATTTATTATGGGCATTATCTTAACTTTTATGTCCCGTAGTTGTTTCTAGATCTTTTTATTCATTTTTTGTTTCAGTTTTTCGCTTTTTTTTTTTCTGTGTCCACAATCTGGCAGATTCTCATTTCCTTGTTTATTCGATGCGCTTTTCCTTCTTGGATGAAGTGTTCAGTATGAAATTCTGCAGTCTACTTCTTCACAGTTGCATAGAAAGAGGAGCCCTCAGCAAGTCTCTGTACCATGTCCTCATGGATCTCCTTGGGTATCATATTTTTTTTTCTTTTTGCAGATACTTTATGGCTGACCAGGCTTCTGTTTTGTCTATTTTTAAATTTGTCCGCACACCTCTCACCATTGTATGGGCTTCACCTGCACAGAAATGAAGATAGAAATCTGAATTATCTTTTTCTAGCTTTATAAACTGGAGGTTTGTTGACATTAAGACTATATACTTTAATGGGATCTAATTTAGAGATGATAGCAGAAACCATGGATGGAGTTATACGCATATAAATCAGTCAGTTATGTGCCATGAGTGATACACGCTTAGGTGATCATGTATCTTTCGATACATAACTGATGAGGCATTTTTCCCGCAGTCTTTCTGCGGTAGACCAGTTGCCATCCAAGTCTATAGAATCCTGTCTGCCCTGATATTTACCCATAGCTGGAGGGAGAAGAAGAGGATTCATACCTTTCCCAAGGGTATTAGCACGTAAGTGAATGTAATGGGCTCGAAAGGTTTGGGGGAAATAAAGAAAAATTAATAATCAAGCTCTGTGACATAACCGTTAGTTATATGCCATGCGTGATACACGCTTAGGCGATCATGTATCTTTCGATACATAACTGACGAGGCAGATTTTTTTTTCCGCAGTAGGTTGTCAT